AGACAACTGATCAGTGAATTTTATGTAATTTTTAATTCAGAAAATGACAAAACGTGTTCAAGAATAGTTTTACTGATTGTGCGCTATTCACTCCCGGAAAGTTGTTGCTGGCTTTTATCCATATTCTAATCACGAATTACTCGTCCTTGTCGCGAGTGATTTATTTACGTACTTACTATTGGTATATTTTACATTTAGATTCTTGTGAAACATATAATGCACTTTTGTAATAACTTCAAAAAGATTTCAAAAAAATCCTTGTTTAAATTAACTATACGTTATGTCGTAACTATAAAACAAGTGCAAATATCACTTTTGCGATTTTAAGCGGCGAATTGATTCAGATATTTACCTTTGTAATCGTTTATTTATCCAGTCTTTCTCATCTGACTGACATAAGTCGTAATATATTGTTCTCTGGCTCTTATATGGTTTTCCGATTATTACCAGAATGCTTTCCATCTGTATGATTGACTGGCGGTATGCAGCAGAGATAATCAAATTTCTTCTGCTAACTATGATCTATGTCCTGCTATGAACCTTCAAGCAGCAACACGTCTCATGTAAATATGGCAGTAAAGCATTGTAACCCAGTAATTGAGAACGTATTTGCTGAATTTACCTATGGGCATTTGTATTTCTATCAAGATTACAAATCAAACAGTCGTTGGAATCATAACCAAAACTAAACAAAAGTACGCAAGCAAACGGAAATTCATGATCAACCGAAAAATTGCTTAATCTTGGATCAGCACTGTTGTGCCATATTTACGCGCCTGTAAAAACAGCTGGTGCGAAAGCAAGACTATAAGATCGTTATCATTTTGTCGGGCTCAACGTACATCAGCGTAACTTTTCTAGTGAGATAATGATTATATCTCATGTTTGCATGTATTCTAAGTGTTGTAGTGGTCTGAATATCCCTTTACCTCTTACCGTATATCATGGATGTATAGAAGTCGAGATTATGTCCATCCGTTTGTTATGTGGGTATTTAGACGATAAGTATTTTTTTCAATTTGTCAGTAATGACTTTGATATTGTCTTGTTTCTATTCCACAGCTCAAAAACATTAAATGCGAATGAATATTCGTGAAAGGTGAATGCCAGCATTTGCTGTGATCATGAGTAACAACAAACAGCCTTAGTTGCCGGAGGTTGGGATGAACATTTGTATAACTTTGTTCTACCATGAACTTATTAACAATTATATGGACGTCGATCGCATTGTACTCGTTTCAGTCAGGGTTCTAAAATTGAAACTGCTACTAAATCGTGATAGTCTCTGATACCGGATACGAGAGGTCAGAGTTTAATGCCTACGAAACGAGTCAGTATTTTTCAGTATTGTTGTCATTTTTGTGACATTTTCATAGTGTTCCTGGATAGTGGTGGATTACTATGAATCCCATGACGTCATTATAAAGATCACGTGAAGCATTCTACCCCTGGACGCGAACTATACACGTCTGACCATAGCAACCTGAGTCGGGCCCGATATTCAATAATTTCTAAGAAGAAAATATCATTTGTACTAAAAAATTATGAACATCGACTCGATTCTAAGTCCGTAAGCTACTGTTTTCGTCTATGGTTTATATTTTCGCCTTGTAGTTATTATATGCTGCCATCAACGGTAAGATACATGCATCTAGCTGGGACACCCTTGAAATCACGAATTTGAAATCGAGGCTTACTGCCTCGTATTACGTCACGTATCGTGATCGAACTTTCTCTAAATTATAGGTTCTGCTACTTCATAGCTGAAAGGCTCGGGAGTGTCGTTAGCGTACCATCACAATGTACCTTTTGACAATAATTTGTAATCACAGTAATCGACATCGATGACACGTGTGTCTTACGGACGACGGATGAGAATGAAATGGGAAGCAATAACCGTGACGACTATGTCAAACAAGTGAAAGAAAATGCGGTATCAACTAGTCAGCACACGGTGCGTGTCCAGTGTTACCATTATAGTTATTACGGAGAAACCAGGAGACACGTACACGAACTACAATATTCAAGTTATATGTTATTCAGTTGTCAAGAGCCCGAAAGTTAAGTCGTAACTACGTATCACGTATTACGTGTAACTCTTGCGTAAAACCTGTGGTAAAAACTGTGGCTTGTAATCATGTGATGCATGTTCACGCTGCTATATAATTTTATTCATGATAAAATACTTGCATAACGCGTTTACATGAATTTGGTAAAGGTTAAGTTACGCTTAAGAAATTTTGAGAACATTTGCACACTGCACAACGCTTCGAACCAACTTAAAATTCTCGTGTGATAAAAAAAAAATATAATTGTTTTTCGAATCTTCTTTACCGTCCATGTGCGGATGACTCGTAATAAATACCTTAACATCAAATGGATATTTTCCATGTTTGGGCTAAATAACAGATCGACGAATGAAGGCATGATTTCTGCACGGGCCGTGTGAGTCCCAAGTGGGTCCCGACTAACGTGAAGCAACTGCTGTAATTCTTCTGCAAACACAAAGGATTGCAATTTTCGGCATGTACCGAGATCCCATAACGTGAACGTAGCAAAAGTACATTCACTTAGATATAAGGTCTTGTTTGTCCTTTATTTGTCATTTACGTTTTAGGTGTGAAATGAAATGTGTACAAGTTCATGGCTGGGTATTCACTTTTAATATTTATTTTTTAGCCAAGTTTCCCACATTTCATTGCAATGCTTGAATATTTGCAATGCGTGAATGTAAGGCAATACTTTACTTGGGTTCAAAACTGAACGTACCAACTTTGTTGTTGTAGTTTTCGAAACTTATTTTCGTTTACGGCCCGAAAGTAGTTTAAAGTATTATCACCTTTATGACTTTTGATTCAATGCACATGCAATGCAAACAGATTCTACCCACAATGAAATCAATAAAATGTTTCTTTGCAATTCTAACACTATAACGTTCTCCTCGTAATGGCTGTTAAAAATTCGAGTCGATTCTAGGAGGTTAATAGCCTTATCAGCAGGTAATATGTTATATGTCGTTGAATACTCGGGAGTAATATAAACAGAGAAATAAATTATATCTCTAGCCAAGACACACTTTAAAGCAGATTGATAGCGTTTTGTAGATCGCATTTTATTAGGATCACCTCCATTGAATATTGTGTTGCTAGCATGCAAAAGCAACCCATAAGTCCTAATCGTTGTTTCAAGTTATCATAATATCACAAAATCTATTATAACAGATTCAACCAAATTGATAGTTACAGCTCAACTTGTGAAAATAATTACTTCTCAATTTAATCATCAAACCGCATGGAAATTTACTCACTCACTCACGTGTTTAAGCGTTTTATTTTTACTTATGTGTCTGTTGAATGTGAATATTAATTTCGCCAAAAACATAAACAATAAGTACAGACAATTGGAATGACAATATCATAGTAAACAGAAAATGAAAAAGTAAAAGCGAAAACTCTTAAATTATAATTTGGTGAGGGTCACAGATGTGGTGTTACACTACACTAGTCACTCCCTTGACGTTGAGTGCATTTGACAATGCGCCGGCTTCAGATTTCTGCCAAAGTTTTCCCAGATCGACAGTTTTGTTCAAAGTATTTTCCTCGGATCTCGATGTTCTGATTGGTTAAATCATTTGATTAGTATTTTTTATAGTCTTTTTTATATTTATAGTTTTATTTAACGACTACGTGTTTTTTGTTGTTTTTAGTTTATGTGATTTTCATCCTTAGATTTGTACATTTTTGAGTTATGTGTCAATGTGAAGTTTACATTTAAGTGACTCCCCAATATTCTCATCTGACAATGTGTACATTTCAGCTTTCCAGTGCCAATGTAAAGGGTTGTAATCTTGTTATTTTTTCCTAGCCTGGCAATATCCTGTTCAGATGAACCATTATGCCTCCAGCGGTCATGGATACACTAACATTCTCATTTGTTTTTTGTCATTATATATCATCAATTCTTAATATAGAAAACCATGAATTAATTGAGTGGTGTGTATAAATGTTTTGTTCTGTGATTTTATTACATTCAGAAGTAGGCTGAAATCTGAATTTAATGGCTGGTATTTGTTATTTGGATGAAATTCATCACGTGTCATCAGTTGTCAAATAATGTATATAGACACTAAATGGCTTCTCCAATCGATATTTGTAAATGTTGTATTCAGATTACATACATGTTATTTAATTCTGGGGTGATTTGACAGGCTAGTTGTTTTGTAGCCTGGTTGCAAGACCTGGGAGTCTGGGAGTCTGGCAAATTCGTGACCTCACCATGCTGCGTCGCCGCCCTCGCGAGGGCGCCTACCTAGACTACGTCGATCCGATTTCTGACTAGAATATGATTTGTTTTCGTCTCGATTCATTTTATCAGTGTACTCATTTTTGTCTGACAGATTGTATTTTGTCGGCACACTCAAAATATTTGTTTTGATGTTCGTAAATACATTGATGCTAAAGGGTTCAATTTCTGCATCAAAAAGTTCGTCCGCCATTTTGTAAAACGTTCCAAACTATTATTTCACCTCCTGTAATGGGTGGGGACAACGCTGATTGGTGCTACTAATCGCATAAATGTAGGCATATTCTACCACAGCTTTAAATAGCGTGGTAACCACCAGATGCCGCTAGATGATACCGGGGAGTTACATGAAAGGAATGTCCATAGTTGTATAACTCTGCTTTCTAAGGTGCAATATACTAGTATGCAAAAGCCTCGTCTCTTTGATTGCACACTATACTATATCCACGGTACTCTTACGTCCATGCTTTTCACCATTCGCAAGTAAAGTAATAGGTCTCCATTACCTACCACTATGAAAGAAATTAATGTTATTAATATAAATTACTCATCATACAAGTACAGAGCTTGTTGTGTATAATTCTCTATCTCAAATCCCGATCAGTTTTGCAATCGCACGTGTCTAAGTATCTCGTAAAACCCGAGATCTGTTAAATCTCGCGAGACTTTCCCAACTATTACAGTGTGCTTAGATTGAAGAGTCGCACGCATGTCTGTCGACATGTCTATAAGGAATTTGTTCGACACTGCTCAATATACGTACATGCATGGTGAATTTATACAGGAAGACCACATAGAAACATGGGCGATGATCGTTATTTGTTTGTTGGGACTTTTTTTACTTTTCTGCGCATTCTTTCTAATCCATACATGTTATTTTGAATGGTAAGTAGGAATTGCTTTCCCTATTACGTAATAGTGTGCGGAGGTACATGTGCCCCTGTACGTCCATGGGTTAAACCACAGTCCGTCCTTAAGTATAATCATGGTGCTTTGTTTTTATCCATAGTACACGGTTACACCGTGCATAGTATAACGAAATCGTGGTGTAACTTAAATTTCCAGACGACAGAAGTCTTTGTCAGGTTGTGTCATGACTGGTTGATTTACTCATTTCTATGCTTGTTTATTCGTATGTTACTCCATAGTTTTCTCTTCTTAGTTCCAACAACAAATGCTCTGTTGCCCTGTTATCGTGGGTATACTGATCAGATGAAATAAACGCCTAGAAGTCAAGCGTAACACGTGTTCATTTTACCTTGATCTTACGTGGCTCTACATTGTTTACAACCATCTACGGTCAAAGTTACGTAAAACAGTCCGTGTGACGTCACGGAATGCATTGTTCAGTGTTATCAATGAATGAGTTGACAGAAACAAACTACATGTTGAGTCTGAAGCATACTCTAGTACAAAGTGAAGTTATAACAACACGTTAATTTCCTTCTACAGGAAAAATAATCATGTAAAAGGGCTTTCGTTGCCATGGTGATAAAAACCCTGACTTTATACCACCGTCTCTCGGTTAGTAAGTACACGCAGAACACTTCACACCGATTTTTGTAATTACCATGGAAAATTATAGAATCAGTTGGTATGGCAAACAAATCGTGAAATGTTGGAGTAATAAACTAGTCTGCTCTGAAAACTGTTTTTTTTTTATCACCAAATTAGACGTAATTGTCATCATTGAGATCACTCAAGGCCATATTTGCATGGTAAATTTATTTTAGGCGGACCTTCCAAATTCGGCTTTCTACTTGATAAGATTTCTCATGAACTGTAAAAAAAATCAATCACTCTTGTGATGCTTAAACTAATATTCATGTTTAGAACTACATGACAGGGCTGTGCGGCCTTCTGGCAATTTAATGCGCTATCCTGGTCACTGAGAGAGTTTCTACAGATCTTATAATCTGGGAATTCAACTTTAAGGATGGATACATTCAACCCTAATGAAATATATTTTTTTAATTGTTTAATAAAAATTCACATTATTTATTTCAATACCCTGTGACTTAACCGTAGACCCCAGAAAAAGGACTATAAGGGTTAATGTACGCATTTCATTTCAGTTTCAATGACCCACTGAGGAAAGAACCGGAAATGCCGTTACCGTGCCACAACAAAATACCTTTCGTAATTCCCGCAATCGTCATAGATGAGGTGTCTACAGGAACGACAAAAGAACCTGAAACGAGAGGCACTAACCATAACGAACATACTAAAGAGGAAGATGATCATCACTGGTCAAAACTTTTCCCTCCAACGCATGGTATAGCAACGCAGTCGCAACCGGTACCGGAACCCGTACTAGTAGTGGATTTGCATCAGTTGACACGTGTTCTGTGTGACACTAAAGATGGTCAGAATTTCCACGTTAACATTCGAAATATCAGCGACAGTACAACTCATTATAACAAACAGTTCACTATCGTGGCAAATGAATATCAAATTCTATACGAACTGAATCGCGGGAATGTTTCAATATTGCAGATACACGTAAAAAGTAAAGACTATTGTGTAACCATTGAAACGGAAGATGAGTACATCTCGAAGCTGTAAAGTTGTTTCAACACTCCGCTATATACACTATTCGAAATACTGTCAAAAACGTAGTTGGCAATTAACAGTACGTAGCAGCAATTAATTCACCGCACATGCGCATTTGCAATCAATTTTGTCATGAAACTAGTAATATTTTGCGGGGTATAAACATAATATAATGTACTAAATATTAAAAATTCTTATATTGTGAGAATTAGTAATTACAGAATAATTGTATCGGTCATTACAGATTGTGCAATATACTAGTAGGTAGAAGTCGCCACTGTTCGTGTTCTACATTCGCCTTAGAGGGCGCAACACTTAGTTATGACAATTCTCCAGCTTTTTAATGACGTGGCGCTTTTGGGGCGTTTATGTATAGGGTATAACCAGGGTATTCGGACTCTTGTGTGTAGAAATTCCAATCTAAGATGACATTTGAAGAGGCCGCAGGTCGGGAATTTTATATACAGAATACAACGAATTTGAGGGCTTTATCCGACTTTAAACCCGCCACCCCAAATCATTTTTAAAGATATGTGTTTTTGGGAAAGCTCACCTTTGTGTAAAACGTGGTCAGTGTTTGAGAACTACGATATTTGAAATGAGTCAGACTCGGAAACAGATCGTGTATTGTATATAAAGTACTGCGATGGAGCATTCTGATTGGTTGAGAAGTAATAGGTGGGTTTTAATTGGTGAATTGAAAACTGTTAACAGCGTTGATATCGTTTTGATCTGCAGTCGTCCGTCAGATAAAAAAATAAGATTTTGAGAGATTTACTGTTTTCTAAATGGCGAACGACTAAATTAGGCCGTTTCATAGAATGGCATGTACGTCCATTCTCCTTCCCAGAGATCCTTTCGGCCAGAACACCGAAAGTATTTCTGCCACCACACAGCGCCATTTTGTGGCAAAAACCACAAAACTTTTACTACGCTAATTTTTTGGTAATCATGCCCTGGACGTGATACTGTGATTGAAGATGGCGGAAATGCGATTCTAGGGCAATAAAACAAGTATTGAGCATTCAGCTGACAACATGCAAACATGTATATTCTGATAAAATAATGTCTGTTTTTTTTTCTTACGATTTCTAACTAATATTTTTCTTTTTTTCAAAAAAATAATGTAAATGTCCAAACAAAAAAAAACACCATTATGTTTAGTGTTTATTTAATAAGAGTCTCCATTTTAGTAAAGTCAAATTAATCAAATCGTCGTTGCAAATCGAATGCACCCAATGTCACCATGACAGTCATCGCCGAAGGGGAGAATGTTTGTGTGTTCATTGCCACGATGAGCGTACACCAATGGGCGTGCTCGCGGCGATGACATTGCCCCGGTGTCTGGACATCATATCTGCACGTGTATACGACTGCGCATGCTCGTCAATAAATGACAACAGTTTATGGTACGTGCAACTTATGTTGTAGATCTCCTTTGGTGTGTTATCTTATCGCCGCTTTTGATCTATGGAATGTTTGTTTTATTATCTTGACCTTTGACATGTCAGTTAACACGTATCATTGCAATAAATATTATTGTCGACACATAGCTACAGACGATACATAGACGCGTTAGTATATTGTATTTACATGTTATTTTACTATCATTAATAAAGAATGTATAAGTTACAATATAATATTTTCATTTTAACCAGTTTCACATACAATTAACAATCCGTAATCGAGTTTTAACGCTAAATGTGAAGAAATTAAATGTGATGTTTCGTTAACAATTGTAGGTCAGTTGATGTTGATGCAGCTGTTCTTGAAGTTGGTGCGTGTTTTTTGGGACTCATTATCAAAATTTATATTTGTGAGTGCTCTGGTACATGGAGCCAAAGTGATAAGTATCCATAACAATATCTAAATTATGTCACTTGTTTTTTTAGAGTCGGTTGATATAAATGACGTCACGAGCTAGTATAAGCACGAACCAAAACACTCTGATTTACAGAGGTCTTAACTCGCACGCTATTTATAGGTCATATGCGCTAGAACTTCTGGGAAGAAAAGTAGAGCCAAATGAGAGTGGAATAAATAATTTGTGATGCCACGAGTATAATAACAATACAGCTTTCCCATAGGTCGCGCCCTCTAGTGATAAAGGGTTTCGTGATGTAAATGAGTGAAAAGAAGGCCACATAATTGTTGATAATACAGTTAAATAAAACATAGTTACTGTTGCAGAAATCTAAATGACGTACGACCACACAACAAATTAACGATGTCACTTTGAACGACAGTGGCCACGATTACGCCATGTTAACATCATGGCGCCGCTTCGTCACTAGCGGGCGCGACTTACAGGAAAATAGTTTTGTAGGATAACGCGTGGGTATAGTTGCTTGCTAGGTATGCAAATCACAATGCAAGTTTGTAATTGATAAGTCATTGATATTATTACGGGTGCTTTGAACGATTGTATTCAAACATCATGAGGCGCAGCCGAACACATAATCGTGCTCTGTACTCATCCCCGAACCAAATATGTCGATGCAGGGAATTCATTATTGTTACTAATCACCACCACTAGAATTGAGAAAAAAATAGCTAAATTTCGGAGCTCCTTGTTGAAATGAATTTACTTACAAACTGAGGTTTACATTATCATGTAATAATGTAAAACTACGACGTCATTAAAGCTTCTAATTCTAATAGTGGTGATTTATAATACTAATCATAGTTAATGCGGAGTCCTTTATTGGATTATATTATCCCGGGGTGTACAAACAAAATGAATATACGTGCAGTGGTCGCGCGAGAGGAAAGAAATAGACACTGTGGTTAGGTTTCAGTCACGCACAGAAGCTCACCAGCAAACGACATGTGAAAACACTCAGGTATGTGAATTGTCAAATAAAAATGACTAATATTTCTTAATGATCAAGATTAATGGTGGGTTTGTTGTTTAAACGATCGATACAAATGTACCCCATATTGAATATTTACACACATTCATTTTCGGATACTCGTGCTTTGATCTCAAGCTCTGCTAAGTTATCGTCTGACAGCAAGGCTGCACGTGACACAGATTGACCAATGAGAATGTGGAGTGTCAATATTAGGCAGCGTATGATATTATGGTAATCATTAACGAATCCAAAGACTTGCACAGTCACGAGGAGACAGTCGGATCTACATCGCCGGTATTTTCAAAACAACGCATTTGCCGTCATTTTCATAGTTTGTACGTTTCACACAAACGAAAATTTGGCATTTCTCTGAATTATTTTCATTAGTGTAGAATTTTAAGCTGTAATCCGGCCATTGTCAAGTTCAAGTGGAACCAAAATGGCGTACTTGAGGCTATCATCACACGTTGCTCTACTCATACTGGTATTTGGTTTGATTGGGACTGTTTTGGCTGGACACGGTACGTACTCATTATAGCTACGTTGTACGGAGTTGCGAAAAGTGGGTAATAAGGGCTAAAACGGACTTGTTCCAAACAAAAATGGTTAAAGAACGCCACGGTATCGGACCAACCTGATGCGTTCCATTGTTTAAGCGGCGGCGGTATTTTACGCATTTCAACCCACACTACGCTATATCTTTTGATCTTGTCTTATTTTTTGGCCTGGTATAAAAGAAAAACTCCGGGTCGTGAAATAAATATATGTATACACAGTGAAGTGTGGCCTATGTCAATCGTTTCAATTAATCGCGGATAGGAGAAATATAATGAAATATAGGAGGGAGGTGATAGAAAAACACAGACAAAATATATAAGAGAAATATGATTTTATTTGAAAATATTATTTTATTCACGGAATTCCTACATCGAACGCCCGTGCGAGAGATAAAATTTTCTGCAGCCTTGCGAGTGTTGGTCACCTTGCTGTATGAACTTACGCAATCATTGTTCGATATTAACAACTAAACTATTTTGACTCTCGATATTTTAGTCTTTTTTTTTAAACAAAGAACCAACGCTAAAAGTGGGATCGACGGGATAACGTTTTTTTTTACTTTAGAACGCTTACATAGCAACTTGAACGCCATCGGGCGATTCCATTCCCAAATGTGGGCATTCCAGTCGTGCATTTTCATCACTGCCCGCAAATACAACATTACAGATTCAATTGTACTCAGTACTCGGTAAGATATTAGGGAATACTAAATATTGACAAGTTTTAGAAACATTTTGAATCGGCAAAGCAATTCATTTGATGTTCGACAGTAATCCCTGCTATCACGGGGACGCGTACTATGCCGTCCGCCTGGGCTCTCAATAATTCGGCCAAGTAATCCGTCTGGGCTATCTGATGCTCTCATTTTCTCATGCTTCTCAGGCGTGATCGCGACGCAGCGGATAACAACACCAAACTTTGTATACAAACTATGTTAGTCCAAGAAAATAATGTTGGATGGTGTGTCCGATTTTAAGTGACTGGGTCAAAGTCGGGTCATCGTCATTGTTTATTTTATCTTAACGTGATAACAAAATTTGTAGTCTACGGAGAGATGGTGAGCTATGCGAATATAATATTATGTTCATGTTTTCGTGAGATATGATGTAAAAATGACGTCATAGTTCCAATTATTACGACGAAGCAAATACGACATTTTTATTTTGTGTCACTTACAGATGAGATCGGGATACAGTTATTAAACACCAAATTGGCATACACAATGAACAGATTTAATATGACATGATTAGGTCAAAGTCAGGTCAAGGTTACTGTTTGTCTGAAAGGAACACATTATTTAAAAAAAGCAGTGTAGTATTTGTTGGCCACGAGGAGGCAATGAGATGAACTAATATACACATATATGATACCGAATCCGGAAGATTTGATGTCACCATGGCGTCAATGTTTCAAAACGTTTCCTTTTTTTCATTCACAATATGAGCATAAATGGTTGGTACATGTATAATAACATACTACAAACTACAAACTGTACATCTTTGTCTTCAAGTGCGGATTACACATCTAGATATATTTTAATGAGCGCTGAGAAGTTTGTCTCAGTTTATATGACGTATGGTTAGCATGGATGTATACACAGTCAGCTGGCGCACACGTGATAATAAAATAAATATGTATACGATGTTCACTTTATGGGCGCCGCCATCTTGAATGCAGCATAAAACTAAATAAGAGACAAGTTGTGAAACGCGTTTTTCAGATTCCTACACATCTG